TCTCCTTTCTTCTAGCACCTCGATCGAGCTCTGTTATGCACCAAGCTCAAACACAGACTAAACCAAGAACATAAATGAAATCCTGGAGATGAGTAATAAACAGCAGAAAAGGAAAAGAACACTGAACACAGTATTTTTACGTGGTATCCGATACTGATAAATTCAGTGTCGACTAATCCACGGTCAAAGGTACTCTTCTTGAGTCCTTTGACGAATTACTACGATTTTGGTTTCTGATTACACCAATACAGCCGTGATCTCACAATGACTCCCTGTCACTCTGATCATAATCCCACTGAACCTACAGCTCCCTGCCTTTGTTCAAATGTGATCAGCTAAGTCTCACTCGCTATCTCCCTGACAGCTATTTATCTCCTTTTCACTCAAAACCTTAACAATACCCCTTGTTTGTTTTGATTCTTCTGTGAAAACTGATCCTAGCTACCCAGCCCACTATCTCTTTTATACAATCGCCTTTCTAGCCGTTGATGATTGCTGCCAATTAGTCCGAGTGAATCTTGGTATGATCTTGATTGACATACTCCTTCCTTAACTGTCTTGCCGAGACTTCGCCTTTCCATTTTAATCACATTCTTCAACCTTCCTTGGTTTGAGCCTGGACAAGCTTGCCTATCTCCTCTCAACACGTCCTTCATTTGTCTGTCTTCTTCTAATCCGAGATGCATCAGGACTACAATCTCCTTCCTGCATCTTCATTTCTTCCATTCTCTCAGGCGACAAATAATTGAACCTTCAGTTTATCTTCTCAAAATCCTCATCCAAATTCAAATTTTGATTTCCTTTCCCCTATCTCTCTCTGCGGTCGGAGCTTCAAATCGATATGCCACTGCCGTCTCTCTCCAATGGCTTATTCAGATTTCGTCGCCATTTTAGCTTCGTGTCCTCCTCTTGGTCCGATTTACTTCTACTTCATTGGCAATAAATTACCTTTATTATCTATAATTTATTTTTGGTTTACTTCTACCATTTTCAATTTGTTTGTACGACCCACCATAGGAATGGGAATCTGACACCGATTGGATACAAAATTCGGGTTTCCGGTGGGGAGGCAAGAGAAGGATGAAGGAGCCAACGAAGGAGTTGATGAGCAGGCATGCATGAAATTCGTCTGCAAGGAACTTACGAGAGTAGCCATTGTCGGAGCTTGAATTTGAACAGTCAAGGCGTGTTTGGAAGGTGGGAGTGGAATCCCCTGCCTCCTGTGGCAGCTCGACGTAACCCAGGTACCTGGCGGCGAGCGGCGGCCATGACTCTCCACTAGATTCGGGAGAAGATGTTTCGGAGGAAGTCCAGGTTGAGATTGACTTCCTTGTGGATCACTTTCTCGGCCTTGGTGGAAGCAGCTCGCGATAGACCTGGCAATCGGTTCATGTTGGGTTTCAGGTTTTGGGTGGGTCATGTTGGATTGACTTATTTTGGGTTAAATATTGACCCAACACATTCGATTTCAGGTCGGGTTACGGGTCCTTTCAGGTTATGAGCGCTCTCAAAAACTGTATCAAACATGATTCATATTTAAAAAAAATATATACAAATCTTCACATATGCATGACAATAGTTTAACTAGCACATGTCAATTAACATATTCTCAAATCTTCCCATGCTAATGAAATGAAATACAAATTGCATGTATAAATTTCAAAAAAACAATTACAAGAGTAATAATACTACAAGAAACACATAATAGTTGATTATCCTTAAGATCCAAACATGTCTTTCAAATCCTTGTGAATTTTTTTCAACATCTCACCAATTTACGAGTGATTTTATGAGTTACATATGAAATTGAACGGGTCTAAAGGATCGACCCGCTAACCCACCCAATCCCACCCAAAAAATTACGGGTTATTGGGTTCGGGTCATTCGGATTTCGGGTTACAAAAAGTTACATTTTTCGCGCGGGTTCTGTTCGATTTTTAATTTGCCAGGTCTAGCTCGCGATGTGCAAAGCGAGAGGATGATGTGTTAATTAATAGTTTTTTTTTATTTTTTAATTTACATGGCATTAAGTTAACAGTCCAGTCAACATTTCCGTCTGCCATGTCATAAAAATTTAACTGAGTGAGTCTGACGGAGACTGACGACCGGTGACTAATGGTGAAACGATTCGTAAAGTTAGTGGCTAATATGAAAGAAAAATAAATTGAATGACAAAAGTGAAAGATTTATGTAATTTGAGTGACCAAACGTGTAATTTAATTTTTTTTCAATAAAAGTTTATCAAATAACTTCTTTTAATTTTCCCTTTCTTTTATTGACCCTATTCCGTGCACGAACAGCAAATGTTGAATTACAATCTAGGTTTCACTTTCACTAGAGAATTTAATACTGGAAACAAATCCACCCACCAAGTTGCTTCTTTTAAATTATTATTACTTGCTGCCCTGTAAAAATTATGAATTAATTAATCCATTGCATCATCGCTACGGTCCACTATTGTTTACAGATTTAATTAAAATCACAGAAATCAACTTGACAATCTTTAATTACTAATATTCCTGCTGTTTAATAAACAATAGTTCTTCATGTGCAATTTGGGCATCTTCATATATTTTCTTTATTGAAGTGGCATTTTTCTTTAATTATTCGTCATCAACAATGTTGTTATTGTAGCCTAGCTATGTCGTTTTGCACTTTTTGCTTCCTTTATTATGAAAAATAGCAATTTTGGTCATTGGCCTTACTAGTTTACAAACAAAGTGTTGTTTATATAATCAACACATATGTTCGACCGTAGAGAGAAGGAGACCGGGTGACTAGGATTATAATAGAATCGTGAACTACGTTCACTTTCCGTAAAGAATATTTTCATCTTCAACAAGTCTAGAGTTACAAGAAATTTCTTCGTAGGATAAAACTATCACCACTTTAGGTTTCAGGCTTAAATACCTAAAGCATACTTAGAAGTTTAGTAGAAAGAAGAATCTTTGTAGAATAAAACTATCACCACATGAGTATCTAAAGCATACTTAGAAGCTTGCCAAAGAGCCACATCTTTCTTTTGTAATAACGTTACATGGCTTGAAATGGATTTTATCCATTTATTCCAATGAAGGTATGCATCACGTGGTCAATTTACTTGGCAGTTGAGACAATATCATCGTCTGGGGAAATTAATGGAATGCAACGATGGCATAACTAGTTCAAAATAAATGGACCGATGGCTAACTCATGATTAACCTTACCGATGCAATAACTTAACTAGTGGTCTCCATTTTAATTTCCAACACGCATTTTGGCTCTGCTGCAAGGATGGCCCAGCGACGTTAACTATGGATGTCATGAGATTTGGAGTTTCGGGACGGGTTAGCATGCTAACCCCTTAAGGGGTTGGTTTTTTGACACCCTTTTTAATTGGTCAATTTTTCATTAATTATTGACAAGTATTAATGAAAGTAAACATAATAAATGTTCTGTTATTAAATACAAAGTAAGCATTAAATACACCACATTAATTACCACTTTACTGGTATTTGTACCACTGCACTGATACTCAGATATGACATTGCTACCAGTGCACTGATATCGCTACCAGTGCAGTGGTATATCTACCAATACAGTGGTACAACGTATCAGTGCAGTGGTATATCTACCAGTACAGTGGTACACCGTTTCAGTGCAGTGGTATATTTTTTGGAGGTGGTTGGAGGGAGTCTGCCGATGGGATTTTCACCGGAGAAGTGTGGCGGTTGGAGGAAGTCTGGTGGTCGGAGACTGCTGAAAAAGGAAAAATCAAATATAGTGAGAGAATTCCTAATGTGTATTTAATAGTGAGAGAATTCCTAATTAATATGGTACATTTAATTCCTAATGTGTATTTAATGTGTGTATTAAATTCTATAGTTGTATTTAATATACTAGGGGGTGTCATTTTTCCAACCCCTAAGGGGGGTTAGCATGCTAACCGACCCCGGAGTTTCGTAAATCAACTAGTACCAATAACTTAAATTATTGGGAGAGATCTATATATGTATCTTAGCCACTTTCTTAGGAGTCGTTTGGTAAGCACGTAATGTAGAATTCATGTATTAGAAGAATTCATGTATATTGTAGGTTGAGTTGTGAGAACTTGTGTAATATTAGAATGCATTGTTTGGCTTGCATGAGTTCATGGTAGAACCCACATAATTTGGCATGAAATCTCAAATATTTTGGATAAACCCAAAGCATTTGAGATATCATGGTCACATGAATTCTAGAATTTCATGGTGTGCTTCTTTTATAAGTTCTCTTTGACAAAAAAAATTCGCTCAGCCACGTCACTATGAATATTTATCTTTTATGTAGTCTAGCTAGCACTATAGATATTAGATAGGGTGTTGTTTCGTCTCCTAGATTGGCACCGGGTTTGTTACACTGCTTTTAAATTTAAAGCGTTGACTCAGTTCATAACTTTCTCTCTTTAAAGAGTAGAAGTTAAGTAAGGATTTTTGCACATATTGAAAAAGTTATCAAAGAGCTATCCATTCGTGACGGGAAAAAAGCAGCTCCCTCTTCACTTCCGGTTGGGCATCATCCTTATCTCCTTTTATTTTTATATTAATAGCCAAAAAATAGTATTATTTTATTTTTTTCTATTTCCGTTATTAATTAATATTAAGTCAATTGCAAGTTTGATCACCGAAATTACTTTAAAAGTTGGTCATTTAAATTAGTTACACCGTCCAAATTTAGTCACTCTCTGTTACCATCCGTCTTACTCTGTTAAAGCTGTCAGTTAATTGCAGACGTGGCTAATGCTGACTACCTCAATTTTAACCCCGAAAAAAATCAGAATCGACCCGCCACATCAGAAAAACCCACCACCTCATATAAACTCAACCCACTCGACCTAAAAACCCATTAACCCAAATCAAAACCCCTTCCTACCCTCCCTTCTTCTTCACTGCCATCGACCTTTGATCTCTGCCGTCAAATGAAGTTGTTGTTCCCGGCCGTTTCCTCCCGTCGGAAAACGAACTACAACCATTTACAACTTCTCAATCTCTGGCACCACTCTCCACCTTCCCACCCTCCACCCAATCCAAGCTCCGATTGAGAACAAAGAAGAAGAAATCCAGAACATGCAAAAATCCCAATCGCATCAACAAAGCCCCAATCACATCCCCGATTTCCCTTCTCCTCCGCCTCTTTCTCCCTAGCTCTCTCCCGCCATGGATCTGCTTCCTCCATCTCCCTTCCTCATCTTCACTCCTCCCGACCACCACCCCGCCCACCGTACAAGTCGCCATCCTCACCACCAACCTCCCCATCTTTGCAAAGAAAATCTAATCCCCCCAATCGCAAATTAACAAAATCATCACATTGAGGAAATAACCAAATCCCGGCAGCTACACCCTTCCTCTGTATCTTATACCCACCAATCAATCATTTCGGTATCTCCTCAACCGCGATCAGCGAACGAAGATCTGAAACTAATAGTGTTATGAGAAAATCCAAGTACCACATCGGTAATACAAGGGAAGGGACCCTTGTATATAAGTGTCCACCAAGTTCATTAGTACGAGGCCTTTTGGGAAGGAAACCCAAAATTAAATTTATGCGGGCTTGGCACAAAGTGGACAATATCGTACTAATTGAGCGGCCTCGGTTATGACAAGTGGTATCAGAGCCTAGTCGGCAGATTCAAGGCGGTGGACGTTAGTTTTTTGGACCCTCGTTCAGTGACCTCGGGATTTGAGATTTGCGTCTGGTTTGGTGGATCCAGGAGAGATCCACGTTTGGGCTTGGCGGATCAAAGAGAGTTCCGCATTTGGTAAGCAGATCAAAGAGAGTTCTGTGCCTAGTAAAAGTCCTTGTACCAGGAAAAATCCTTGTACCAGAAAAAATCCTTGTACCGAGAAGCCCATCGATACAAGGTGTCTGGCAGATCAATATACTCGCTGAGTAGAGAACACAAAGTTCGTGGTCATTGTCTTGGGGGGGGGGGGGGGGATTGTTATGGTACAATCCAAGTACCACATCGAAAATACAAGAAAAGGTCCACCTAGCCCAATTAGTACGAGGTCTTTTGGGGAGGACACCCAATAGTAAAATCGTGCGGGCTTGGCCCAAAGCGCATTTGTTAAGCACATGGTATTCTTTTCTTTAGACCTGTGCAAACTTCAAGCCCTTTGGCTTTCGTTTGAGGGGGCGTGTTAGTGTTGTGGTATATGACAAGTGGTATCAGAGCCTGGTTCGGCAGATCCGGGGTTGTGGACATCAGTTTGGTGGACCCTCATTCGGTGGTCGCGAGATTTGCGATCCTGCGTCTGTTTGGCGGATCAAGGGAGATCTTCGTCTGGGTTGTTTGGTGGATCTATAAGAGAACCACGTTTGTCTAGCGGATCAAGAGAGGTCCCCGTTTGATTTGGCAGATCAAAGAGAGTTCTTCGTCTGGCGAAAATCCTTGTACCGAGAAGCCCATCGATACAAGGTGTTTGGCGGATCAAGATAATCGCTGAGGTGAGGACACGAAGTTCGTGGTCCTTGTCTTGAGGGGAGGATTGTCAGGGTACAATCCAAGTACCACATCGAAAATACAAGGGAAGGAACCCTTGTATATTAGTGTCCACCACGCTCATTAGTAAGAGGCCTTTTGGGGAGGACATCCAAAAGTAAATCCGTGCGGACTTGGCACAAAGCGGACAATATCGTACTAATTGAGCGGCCCCGGTTATGACAAATAGGATAGCCTTCTCCATGAAATCACAGAATCTCGACAGCCCTACCCGGGAAAACGATTTGATACAAACCCAAATGGGGGAGAATCGGTCATTTTGGAACCCTCATCGCCGCCGTCCCCACCAAGCAGTGGCGGAGGCAGCATTCCAAACCACCCCTATCTCTTTTCATAATGTAAATATATAAGTGTTAATTAAGAATTATTTAATAAAAATAATTAAAATGAATTATATTCAACTAATTTATTCATAGATTAAAAATAACCGACTATACAATCATTGTTTTCATAAACAACCACAAAAAGATTTCATATTGTGAAAGAAATACAAAATGTTGGTTGTCTACACTATTAAATAAGTCTCTTTCAATGTATCTCACTAAACAAGTACCAGCAAATTGGACGCCAAATCGACTTGGAAGCTTGTTTTTACTATGATACAAAGGTGAAAAATACTCTTTTTACGCTTACAGTTGTAATTGGTAGAATCAAAACTAGTGGAATTGCCGTTGTTGTTAGACAACTTCAGAGTTGGTGAAAAGATCGAATAGGCATAAGGAGAAAAGAGATCCAATTAGGTCTTTATTGCAATTGGAGTTTTGTTTATTGTATAATAAATTAATTTTATGTCAATTTATGAACAAGTAATGAGTTGTGCTCTAGTGACAAAATACTCTAATATAACCTATAGGTGTTGTGTTCCATCACCAATATAAACATATATGACGTATTTTTTTCCTTTGAAATTTACCCTTGTCCCGGGACAAGGCCCAAATGGGCTGCCTCCGCCTCTGCCACCAAGAGGCTGTCAGCACCTGATGAACAGAGCCTATGCATTCCCGCAGCCTCAAACATCACTTTCTCACCTCTAGCTTCCTGTACTCGCACCGCCAGCGTCGACGACGTCTTCCCGGCCCAGCTAATTCCACTATTCTCCGTCGATTTCCGCCGTGACTTCTTTGGCTCTGTCGTAATTTTGCTAGAGTGGCCACTCCCGAATTACTGACCGAAACCACCAGCTCCAGGTCCACTTTTGAGAAAAATCCAAATCGAGGTTAATTGATGGGATGAGGTTGGGTTTGTTAATAGGGTTGAGTGATGGATTGGGAAAGGTTGGGTTGGTTTTGATGATGTGGTGGGTCAACTATAAACTTTTTTGCGTCAAAATATGTTGATTGGGCATTTCTGTTAGCCACATCAGCAGTTCACTGATAGAACTAATAGAGTTTGACGGAAGGTAACAAAGAGTGATCAAACTTGGACTGTGTAGCTAATTTAAGTGACTACGAATAAAACAAATTAATTTTAGTGAGAAATTTGAACTTTTAAGTAATTCTAATAACCAAACTTGTAATTTATCCAATTAATATCTATTTATATATGTGGAAAAAATCACCTGCCCAATGACGTCAACTTGTCTTTTGATTAAAATGAAACAAAATAAAGAATCCATTCAATATTATTATTATTATTATTATTATTATTATTATTATTATTATTATTATTATATCTGCGGCGGATATAAACTAAACCAGGCCGATTCTGAGATCTACCAATCATGAATTGAAATCAAAGAGCCAAGTAAATATTAGCTAGAAGGGCAACAAAAAATGAAGATCTTCCCTCTCCATTCAAACAGCTACTTTTTTGCTTGCGCCGGCGGCGAGCTCAACACCATCCATGTGTTGAATTCGTCTGGCCAGCACGGTCATGGAGCTGTAATGTACCCTTACAGAGACTGGCGGCTGGTAGAGAAGATCCATCCAAACGGCGTAGGCACCCAATACACGGCGTTAGATGTTAACGGGAACGTCATCAGCGGGGACAATTTGGTAAGACTCTACAAATACCTTCAGTTACCTACTCGGCTGGCTAACTATACCGGCGTCCAGATCGTTTGTCAGGCCACCAACACCGGACAGCTGGTGGGCACCATGAACCCCTTCCGCTACGAATGGCAGTGGTACAAAGACCAGCCAGCTGCCGGCGGCGCTACTTCCAGCGCGAGCGACGACAAGAAAAAGATTGCAGACCTGACGGAGGAGCTGAACAAGGCGAAGGAGGAGACAACCAACAAGGACAACCTTATCAACAACGAGGAGCTGGAAGTCAAAACCCAGGTGATGCACGACAAGGACAAGGAGCTCAAGAAGAAAGACGACGAGGAGATTTGCAAGATAACTCGGGATCTGATGAATGCACCAAAAAATAAGATTGAGGAGTTAAATGCCGCCACTGATCTCAAGGATGAAATTGCGAAGAAGGACGAGGAGATTTGCAAGAGGAACGAGAATCTGGCTGCATCAAGAAGTAAGATCGTTGAGTTGGAAGCAATTATCCATAAGTACGGGGAAGAAATTGCGGAGAAAAATGAGCAGCTGGAATCAAAGGATAAAAAAATAAAGGATGAGGAAGAAGAAGCTAACAGGAAAAGACAAGAGCTACAAGCAAAGAATAATAAGATTGAGGAGCTAGAGGCAATTATTATCAAGGATGGTGAAAAAGAAGCTGCCCAAAAATTTCAGGAGCTGGAAGAAAGGAATAAGAAAATTGAGGAGCTGGAAGCAATCATCAACAAGTGTAAGGAAGATGCTGCCCAAAAAATCCAGGAGTTGGAAGCAATTATCAAGAAAGGTGAGAAAGACGATGAGATTGCAGCGATAAAAAATCAAGGATTGCGGCCTACTGTGTCGTCGATAGTAACAACGCCGCCAACAACAGAGGGGTTATCAGGAGGATTATTGGTGGAAGAAATTGTGACGAATTCTAAGGATATCAAAATAGCTATTTCACTGAAGATCGGTGAGTGCTCTACATTTTTACTTGTGCAATTATTTTATAGAAAGATTAAAACTTTGTTTTGGATGCAAAATTCAAACTTACATGTGGTAAATTTTATTATCTTTATATTTATCTCTAGGACCAACCGTTTTGAAATGACCTTATTTACCTAAATTATTTCTTTTGCGGTAGCTTCAACACATAAATCAATCTCTAGGTTACCGTAAAACTAAAAACAAATGTACAGGCAGCTATTGAATTTTCATTCATAAACACAATATTGCATTTAAGATACATTTACTGTCATTTATTTAAATTTAATAACAAAGGTTTCAGTTATATATTTACGTGCTGTAGTTCAGAAATTTTTATCTAAAAAATACAGAATATATTATTTTTCAATTGGGAAAGATATATTATTGATGAGACTTACAATCTAGCCCCTCCAGTGTCATACAAAACATATTATGTATAATAACATTGTTAGATCTTGCTCCTACTTTTCATCTGTTTAATTAGCTAGTTGTCCTAGTCTTTGCACTTTATGGTATATATATATATATTATCTATATCCTCTTTATTATGCCATAAAGTTAAGGATAAATGTTTTTATCAAAGAATGTAAGATAATTTATGTTGGGATTTTGTACTTCACATCCCAAATATCATGCACTGTAAAATTTCATAATGGTACCCTATAAATATAGTTTCACAAATTTTCAATTTTTTATAATGATATTAATGATAATGGCAGACCTTGTGAAGGACGACAAATCAACCAACAATATAGTGCAGGAGAAGATAGATTTCATGGAGCAAGAATCAAAGCAAAAAGACAACCAACTGAAAGCTAAGGACGAAGAAATTTCAGAGTTGAAGAAAGTAATAAATGATAGGGACAAAGCCATACAAAAGCAAAGTGAGGAGCTTGCAAAGTTGATAGCTCAACAATTATCTAATTCCATGGCACCAACGCAAGAACCAGTCAAGCTTGATGACATTGTGAGTACCCTACTGATAGAAAAGGTACAAATGAAAAAACAACTAGACGAAGTACACAATGAGAAAGAAGCCAAGGGTCAACAACTAGAACAGAAGATAGAGGAGCTCAACGCCAAGGATGAGGAGGTGGCAAAGAAAGATGCAGAGCTAGAGGCAAAAAACAAGCATATGATCGAGATGGAAGATGCGATGAAGAAGAAACTAGAGGAGGAGATTGGTAATATGACGGAAGAACTAAAGAAGAAGGAAGGGGAGCTTAAGGAGAAAGATAAAGCAATTGTTGACCAAGCCACGCAGTTGGAAGCGGATAAGAAATTGATCGACCAAAAGGAGAAAATGATCAAGAAGAAGGACAGGCAGATTAAAAAGCAAACCAATAAGGTGAAAGTGAAAATTGAACAACTTGGAATAGCAAAAGCTAAAATAGTGAAATTGAGGAATGCTCTAAAAGAATTCACCGCCTTGGACGAGGATGAAGATGTTGATGATGATGAAGACGAGGAGGAGGAGGATGAAGAAAATTGAGTCTTGAAAAATGGATGGTTGTATTAATTTATGTCTGGATTTCTCAACAATAGTACTTATGCGCATGTGAATTCCCCCTGGGTTTTCATCTAGGGCTAGTAATTTACATTTTGGTTTGGAGTTTATTTGGGAGAGTAGTGATCCAGATTCTTATGGTTTTGGGCTTTAAATTTTCTGTACTTGAGCCTTGTGTGTGTGTTATTTTTTAATAGCATGTTCCTACACTTGTTTTGTACATTTGTATTATCCATTAATGGATATGCGGTCTAACTATTGTGTATCAAAACAACAAAAATTGGTGTGCTAAACCAACCATATGATAAGTTTAATGTGGTAAGCAGGCTGGAGTTACCAATCACTCCTAGTTAAACATAAGGCAAACATCATCGAGGCCATACTGATAGAAACCTAAATTTACGGATTCTATCATAATTATCATTATCATTATTATTAGGATTTTATTATATATGGTTAGGAGTTATTGAGTCATATTAGGATAGTCTATTAGGTTTTTCTAGTCTTTCGTTATAAATATGCACTTTGCATTTCATTTAGAATCAGTCAAGAAGAATATTAAGAAATCTCTCCTAAAACCTAATCTCCCAATCCTCTCAATTCTAGATCTCAATCCCTCTAAAGGCCTAGGCCGATTCTCTATCTTTCTCTTCTCAAATCCCTAATTATATTCTTAATTCCTAAATCCCAATCTCATGACCAGACCCGATAGAACCCTAATCTCAGGTTCTTTCATTTGGTATCGAAGCCATGGTCACTGATCTGAGTTCATCACAACTCTCACTAGGAAATTGTTATCAAAACCTCTATCAAGGGATTGAAGCCCCCCAAACCAGCCAAGCAAAACATGAAGCTAACATGGAAGTTCACCACGACAATATGATGGCAAGCCTCGAAGAATTTCTAGCCAAACTCGAGGAAATTATGGCGCGCCGCCGCGCGACCAACATCCATCCAGAATCGGCGTTGGCAGATTCGTCAAAGGTGACTGCAAATGACCACTCGGCAGAAACTGAGGAGGCTGCGGACGACGGAATGGAAGTGGTAAATGGAGCTGGCGTTAACGACGCCGTTGCCACCCCAAACATCATCACCGCCGAGCAGCAAATCACCAATGATAAGGCCTTGTCTGCAGCTAAAATGAAGTCGCAATCATCACCAACAGCGGCTGCCGTTCGGAGCACAACGACACTAACGCCAACACCCACTGCCGTGGCAGCTTCAAAGACCTCATAGGTGAAGTCCCAAGAACCCGAAGCTTCAATTGAAGATCCACTGGTGAAGATTGGTAGGTTTAATTGGAGGTACAGAAAGAAGAAGAGACCTGGAGATGGCTCCAATTTCGAGATGCAGAAGGGTCGTGAGAGGTCAACCATCACAGGGGGCGAAGCAAACAAGAATTCGGAGCTGCGTCAAGAGCACAAGAAGGCCAACGCAAGAAGCCCAAGTCGAGTCATGGAGCAATGTGCGGCAGCCACGGAGGCTGGGGGAGATCATGCTTCGACATCGTCGATCACACCGACGAAGGCGCGTCGTCCGCGGAGGGAGCTGGCAACGACGACGCAGCTGTACCGCTGCAGCCACTGGAGAGGACCGATAATGGATGGTAGGAGGAGGAGCAACGAAGGGTAGAGGAGCCTGAGGTCGTTAGCGCCGGGAACACCGCAACTGCATCCGCCATAATGTCGCTAGAGGCAACACAATCCCTTGCTTCCGATACAGCTGAGCCGGGTGCAGTGATTGACATCGCCACTCTCTGGTTTCGCATGGCGGCACCGACAATTAATCCCAAGACCCGCTCAACGGTGGAAGAGCTCGACGACGGCGTCAATCGACGGAGTGAAGTAGAGCGAGGGAACTGGGGTTCCTCCGTGACGACGCAATCTTGGGGTGTTCCACTAGGGTCGACGTCGGGTAGATCAGCGTCAATGGTGAACAGTGAAGGGGAACTCAACCTGGTGTTTTGTGCAAAGAAGAAGACAGCGGCTTCTGCGACGACGTTGACCGTCGGGGATAAGAGGTCAACGTTGGGGCCAACAGCGGTCAGGCCACCGCCTTGTCGGTGGCTGGTGCGGGGAATAACGGTCGCGCGAGAAGCGCCACGATCGGTGGCCGCTTCGATCGAGACACTGGTCGGGAATGAAGGGAGACAGAGGTATTTGGTGCCGAAGGCGAGTTCTGGTGGCCGGGTGCGCCACTCGCTGGCGGAAAAAGAAGGAAAGAATGGTTGGCCGCCATGGAAGAGGGAAGAAGGCGGCGACACCATTTTCCTTCTCGCGAAACCTAGCGTGGTCAGCAAAGAAGAACAAGGCCAAGCCTTGTTGGGCCTATTAGGTTCGGCTAAGGAGTCTTACGGGCCGACTCGCGTTGGCCTCAATCATAAGCTGGCAAGTAAGAGAGAAATTCATGGGTCTGCTTCGGGTTATGTGCATAAGTGGAAGGGGTCCATTCTTGGGTAATATATGAGCATCTTAACCCAGGATATTCTCTATGGTTTCGGGGCGAGATCCACAAGCCCATTTGCTGAGGAAGACCACGGGCTGGCATTGGAGAAATTCGTTGAGCCTGGACTTGGACCCAGGTTGCACAAGAAAAAAATCAACTATATTCAAGAGAAAAGAAGGCTGAGGGATGCGCCTATTGGGCTGCCTGAGAGCAGTTTAAGAAGCTCCCTCTTATGTTGGGTTGGGCTGAAATCAAAGGCCCCAATGGTTGAGGAAGATGGACTGAAGAATGGGCTAGCAGCAAAGGGAGAAGCCCAATTCGTCTCTTGTCTCTTAAGAAAAGAAGGTGGGTCGAGTCTGCAAGGGAGATTTTGGCCCCCAATGTACTATCTTGTTGGGCTCGTTTTGCAGGAACACAATTTAGAGGAAGAGAACAGTGTGCTCATTGGGTTAGGTGGGTTTTCAAGGAAGCTCAATCCAAACCAACTTGGAGGAGAATGGAGTCCAAAGGAGCTTGTCTTCTCCAGTATGCACATGGCGGTTTCGATGGAGTTGTCCATTGAAAATTTCAAGGTGATAGAGGGGCATAATGAAGAACCACTCTCCAATTCTTATTTTGTGAAATTTGAAGATGGCGAATTGTTCGGCTATGAAGAACGTGACAAATGTCACGTGGGTGGAGGAGACTCGAGGATAGTTGGAGTTGCACGAGAAGAGTTCATTCATGGCATTGAGCGCAACTGGAAATGAGGAAAGCGGAAGGTCAAGAAAAAGTGGGTCGAGTCGGTCAACCTTGAGGCCAAGATTGGTCTCAAGGGGGAGGGGATGATAGAAACCTAAATTTATGGATTCTATCATAATTATCATTATCATTGTTATTAGGATTTTATTAGATATGTTAGTATTCATTGAGTCCTTTTAGGATAGTCTATTAGGTTTTTCCAGTCTTTCGTTATAAATATGTACTTTGTGTTTCATTCAGAATCAGTCAAGAAGAATATTAAGAAATCTCTCCTAAACCCTAATCTCTCAATCCTCTCAATTCTAGATCTCAATCCCTCTAAAGGCCTAGACCGATTTTCTATCTTTCTCTTCTCAAATCCCTAATTCTATTCTTAATCCCTAAATCCCAATCTCACGACCAGACCCGATAAAACCCTAATCTCGGGTTCTATCACATACTTAATTACTACCTTGCAAGTTTCAACCAAGAAGGAATATGAGATCGGAGTCGAAGCATCAATAGCATATTCTTCTAAGTGTCAATGTTCCTAGCTAGGACAAAACAGGACATCATTGTGTTTTTACTATGATTAAAAATGATAATGTCGGTCAACTTTCATATTGAATAACAGATGCCATGAGAATAGTAGTAAGGCCCCCTTTTGAAATTTCTTCAAGGCAAGGCTTTTGCATTAAGTTACTCATGCACTAAAGCTGACAAATCTAATCACTTAGTGTTAGAAAATCTGTCAATTAGATTAACGTTAGGCTGACTAGGATAGTAAATTTACGTACACTTCAACGACAACTCAGCCTCACTTGCCACATAGATGTCACGCCATATTTTAATTTAAGAATATTTTATGATTAATATTTTATTATTTTTTGGTAAACTATTGTTGATTTTGTTAGAATATGACTTGAATTTGATTTAGGTTTGTTTTATGTTTTAGGTCTATTCTTTTGGGTTTGGGATTGGGCTTTGTTTGACCTTTTCCTTGTATGTTTGGGAAAATGTGTTTGGTTTTCGGTTTGGGATTAGGAGATGAGTTCTATAAATACTCTTCATCACCCTAGTCTGTAGTAAGGTCAGTCAGGTTAGTTTGTTTGGTTTGTCCGTTTGGAATTTGGTTTGTAACCTTTACTCTCCTCAAATTAGTGAAATTTGTCCCCCCTGCCCATGGATTAGCTAGCACACATTGTGTTAGTGAACCACGTTAAATTTGTGTTCGTTTGTGTTGCTTAGGAATATGGATTGCACGCTTCTGTTCTGACAAGTGGTTTCAGAGCTTGGTCGATCGGCTGGGCAATTGGCTAGGGATTTTGGTGACTGCTGCAGTATCAGGAGATAGTGTTCGATTTGGGTTGTCGGAAGAATCACTTCTGGTGTTCTCCAATTTTGGTTCGCGGTGGAGTTTTTGGTTTCTCCTAGATTGGAGTTTGTCCGTGTCTTTCTTTCTTTCTGTGGCCTGAGATTGAAGGAAGGAAGTAAAATTAGCCGCAGCTGGCAAGTAGATAGTGTTTGGAATTTTTATTAATTCCAATTGGGGCTGCAATTTTGATTGGGCGGCGCTTAGTAACTATTGGGAATGGAAGCTAATTCCGGAGCTAATTTATATTAGTGGCTGGTGTTCGTTAATTCTTTGTTCGGCGGCAATTTGGTATTGGGTGGTGATTCCAATCTTTCACCAGTTTGGAGTTGCATCGTTTGGTTTGTCGAGAAGAAAATTTGGAATTTACGGCAGAGAGCTAATTTGGAAGCAATTACTTGAATTTATTGTGTTCGGTAAAAGCTTGTGGTTTGGGGAGAATTCTGTTTGTTGCCCTTGGTGGTGATCAAGGTTTTCGATCACCAAGGATGTTTGTTCAGGATTTAAAGATTGAGAAGTCGATTTGGAGTTGCAGGCTTGGAGTTAGCAGTAAATTTGATGTTGGTGTTATGGACGGAAATAACACCAAGCTGGTTCTGCATGGCAAGTCCCAACATGGGTTGGACTTGCTGCATGTTTTGATTTGTTGACCGCCCTTAGGGGCATTTGGAGGCAGGGGAGATTCTGGTACAGCTGATTTGGAGGAGTTAGTACGTCTGGCAATTCTGATTGCATCTGAGTTTGGAGATTTGCATCGCGTTTGAGTTTAGTGATTTCGATCACATCTGGATATCTGGCGATTTCAATCGCATCTGGGTAAATTTGGCGATATGTATCACCTCTGGGTACATCTTGCAACTTTGGTTTCGTCTGGTACATCTGGTATTTGACAGAGAATTCAAGTCAAGGTGGAGATTGTTAGAATATGACTTGAATTTGATTTAGGTTTGTTTTGTGTTTTAGGCCTATTCTGTTTGGGTTTGGGATTGGGCTTTGTTTGACCTTTTCCTTGTATGTTTGGGAAAAGGTGTTTGGTTTTCTATTTGGGATTAGGATAAGAGTTCTATAAATACTCTTCATCACCCTAGTCTGTAGTAATGTCAGTCAGGTTAGTTTATTTGGTTTGTCCGTTTGGAATTTGGTTTGTAACCTGTACTCTCCTCAAATTCGTGAAATTTGTCCCCCCTGCCCGTGTATTAGCTAGCACAGATTGTGTTAGTGAACCACGTTAAATTTGTGTTCGTTTGTGTTGCTTTGGAATATCAATTGCACGCTTCTGTTATGAAAAATTTCTTTCCAAATGCGCTGCTGCTTCCTCACCACCAGGGACTTCCTGGCGCCGATGAAGACCTATGTCTTCGGTTTCGCCTTCGCCGAAGCTAAAACAACCTGAAAAAAATTCCTCAAATAAACTATGATTGTCGAGAATCAACCATATCAAGAAATCCCAATCCCTCTCAGTCCCCCGCCTTACCCAGTTCATTACCTGAGCCGAATCCCAAGAATTCGCCATCCGAATGGAAAGAAGGGTGCACTGGGAGCGGAGAGAGCAGGCGGAGACTCTGGAATAGAATTATAACCAAGAAGTTTGACCTCCTAGCAAAGCCACGACGTTGCTCTCAGCCGCCGTCTTCTGCTTCTCCCTGTTCGCAAACCACAATGATGTTCTGCTCACGATTGAAATCCACGCCAGTCTCGGTCTGAGAGGCCACCAATTCATGCCGCAACTTTGCTTCAGCTCCAGAAATGGCGCAAATGGGCTAAAACTCTCACGTCCTCAGTTGCCCTTGTCAAGTGGACTGGGGTAACATTTGGGGCGGGACAAAAATACCACATTTACAAGTAACATAAGGGTATTTTGCTCCTATACCACAACTCAAAATTTGTTCATTAATTGACAAAAAACTAATTAACTTATTGGTGTCATTCATGACACTATTGTTTGACAATAGTTTGTTCATGATGAATTATCTAGTAGAGACAAAAGTGCATCAGTCATATTTGTGAGTTTATTTGCTTTTAAAACTAGTTTTGATTCTATCAGTTGCAACTATAAGTGTAGAAAGAACATTATAAACTTGAGTTATATTAACAACAAGCTTCGAAGTCGACACTACAAAACCAATAAACATTGGTGACAAACATAGGGGACAAAGGTTTAATTTTCTGCGGAGAAATACCATTTTAAGTAATTTTAGGGACAAGGGGATAAACATTTAACTAAGTATGACATTTTTTTAAGCGTCCCTAATGATCTGTACGCTAAATTAAATAATAAAGTTTAGCGGTGTCGGGATCTGAGGGATCTATAGAAATTACTTTTAGGGGTCGTTTGAAAGTTGCGAATGTTAAATCGTTGCATTGTAATGAATCACCATAATATAAATGCATGTATTGATACAATGGATGCATTTTAACAATACATTGTCGAACTTGGCGATATTTAATCACTATTCCTGTTGTTCAATAAAACAATTATTAATGTTGGAATGCAATTTGTTCAGCTTAATTTATTTTCTTTATTCAACTGGTTTTTTTTTTACTGGGTCAACTGGTCTTTCTTTAATTAAGCGTTATCGACAACAGTGCTGTCATCTTAATTGTACTTTTGTTTTTCTTTAAACTTTGTATTCTTATGTTGTCTTTCGGGATCGTCCATGTGCATAATGAACCCATCATCCATAAACAACAACCATTTGGTTGTCCCAAGTTTATGAAATATCGTTAAA